CTTATTCATTAATGGTTTTTTTGTTGCTCTTATTCTTTGTTCCAGTTGTTATCTTCTACTCTTTTTCTGCCATGTGTGATTTAATTGAGCATTTGATATTGTTCTACTTCCTTTCTTTTCTTAGCATATTAGTCATATATTTTTTTCTTACCTTTTTAGTGGTTTTCTAGAGTTTGCAATATACATTAACAAATAATCCAAGTCCACTTTCAGATAACACTATACCACTGCACAGGCAGTGTTAGTACCTTACAATAACAAAATAATCCTAGTTCCTTCCTTCCATCCCTTTTATTATAATGAACTACCATTCATTTCATTTATATATAAACATACACAAGCATATATATTATATTACATAAGGATATATAATTGAATACATTGTTGCTATTATTATAAACTGTTATCTGTTAGATCAATTACAATAAGAAAAATAAATATATGAATTTTACCTTTGGTTATTTCTTTCTGACACTCTTCCCTTCTTTATGTAAATCTGAGTTTCTGACTTAAATTATTTTCCTCCTCAAAAAAAAAACTTTTTAAAACTTTTCTTGCAGGCAGGTCTATTGACAACAATTATCTCAATATTTGTTTGTATGATAAATCTTTTTTCACTTTTGAAGAATAATTTTATAGGGTATAGAATTTTGTGTTGGAGGTTAATTTCTCTTACACTTGAAATATTTAACTTCATTCTTTTCTTGCTTGCATGGTTTCTGAGAAGTCATATATAATTCTTATTTTTGTTCTTCTGTAGGGAAAGGTTTTTTGTTGTTTTTTTCTTTAGCTTTTCCAGAAATTTTTTATTTTCTGCCATTTCAAGATACTATTTCTTTCTGTATGTTTTTGGGATTTATCTTAGTTGGTATTATCTGAGTTTTCTGGATCTGTGATTTGGTTTTAGACTTTAACTTGGGAAAATTGGCAATCATTATTGTTTGAAATAGTTCTCCTGTTCCTTGTCTCTTTCTACTCCTTCTGGTATTTCCATTACAACCGTTACACCATTTATAGATTCCTCACAGTCCCTGGATATTCCTCCTCCCCCTCCTTCTCCTCTTCCTCCTTCTCCTCTTCCTCCTCCTCCTCCTCCTCCTCCTCCTCCTCTTCTTCTCCTCTCTCTTCTTCTTCTTCTTCTTCTTCTTCTTCTTCTTCTTCTTCTTCTTCTTCTTCTTCTTCTTCATTCTATTTGCTTTTTAGTTCTCTAAAATTCTGTTGAGATATTCTCTAGCTCAGAGATTCTTTCCTCTATTAATAAACCCATCTAAGGCACTTTTCATTTCTGCTAATTTTTGATCTCTAGAATTTTTTTTGATTCTTTCTTCGGATTTAAATTTCTCTGCTTACTTTATTAATCTGTTCTTGTAAATTGTCTGCTTTACCCACTAGAGCCCTCATCAGACTAATGATAGTTGTTTCAAATTCTTGATCAGGGAATTCCATCATTCCTACTATGTCTGGTTCTAATGCTTACTCTGTCTCTTCAAATTGTTTTCTGCATTTTGATATGCCTTGTGATTTTTCTCAGTAGCCAGCCATGATGTACTAAGGGTAAAAGGAACTGCTGTAAATTGGTCTTTAGTAACGTGGCAGTGAGGTGTAGGCGGCGGAGGGGACCCTTTCTCTAATCTTATAATTAGATCTATTGTTTAGTAAGAGCCTGTGCCTTTGGACTGTGAACCTCACAAGGGTGTCTCAGTGTTTTCTGTACCTTAGGTGGTACTGAATGGCTACAGTGGAATGAAGATGACTATTTTTCTTTCTAGGTCAATTCGACTCCCATAAAACCCCAGTCATTTAGGCTCTGGTTAACTAGTTTCTTCTCAGGGCAGGTCGTGCTAAGAAGAAATACCTGGGGTATTATAAAATGTTTCCTTTTCCCTTCCTTTTGCAAGAAGCAAGAGGGGAATTTTCTTCAGTATTTACTGTGTGCATCTGGTTAAGCTCCTGGAGGAGATAAATCTCAGAACGATGTGCTCCGGTCCTTTCCTTCCTCACTTTGGCTGAATTCCCCAGGAGTTTTTAACTCTCAGGCTTGTCCGGATTGAGCATCCAGCAACTTATCAATTACAGCCCAGTGTTCCCTTACCTGGCACCTGTTTCTGGGTGGTTTCCACTCCTGAGTCTCTGGTTTGGTAAGCTGAGACTACCTGTATTTGCCTGCCTGTCTCTTCAAGCTTGGGGTCAGCAATTGTGCTGATTTTTTGCCCCTTTCTTCAGTATATAAAAAAAAAAGTTTATTTTTTTTAGTCTGTTCAGCTTTCTGTTTGTTAGAATAAGTGATGACTTCAAAACTTCCTTCCATGTGAAATCTGAAACCAGAGATCTTTTTCATTAAGTTAAAATGGGAACCGATTAAGCTGACAATTTTGTAACTTGAATTTTGTTCAACTGTTTTTGTTTTTATTTCTTTGGTTCAATTGTATTATAAACTTGTTCTTTGTTAATTATTTTTGATGGAATTTTATTATTGACATTTTTGTCTGGTCCCTTATTGTTCAGACTGCTTCCAATTTTCTGCATTATAAGCTGTGCTCCTGTGAACACACATAGAAATAAATCATCCTGTACATTCATGATTATGTCCTCTGGGTAAATAAAATCGCTCTTCTTAACCTAGTAATACAGAGAAATCACCAGAAAACATCCTATATACTTCCGTGGTGGAATAATTTATACCTCCTTCTTTTAAGGTGGATTAAATACAATTAGTTTATTTTATCAAGTCACAACATGACTGGGCCAGTTCTATATAAACTTGTATTGTTTTGATTGTGTGTGTGTGCGTGCGTGTGCGCTCATGCATGTATGAAAGAGAGAGATGCACAGAGAATGAGACTTTCTTTTTTTTAATCCTTACCTGCGGACATTTTTGCATTTACCTTCAGATAGAGTGGGAGGGAGAGACACTGACGTGAGAGAGACACATAGAGTGGTTGCCACCCGCATGACCCCAACCAGGGATGGGGACAAACTGCAACTGAGGTACATGCCCTTAGCAGGAACCAAACCCAGGACTCTCCGGTCTATGGGCCGACGCTCTAACCACTGCGCCAAACTGACCAAGGTGAGAATGAGACATTTTATGAAAGTGCTTTAAATTGTTAGAGAAATAAAGACTGTTTTGTTTTTGGTTTTGTTTTTATTTCATTGCAAGCGAGACTAGTACTAGGAGAAATCTGCAAATCCCAGGTGATTTTATGCCTTTATTCTGCAGCTTTTGTGAGACAGGAAAAAAAAACACACTCTCCTTCTTAGATGTGGCATGGGGACAGCTTTTCTTTAGAAGGTATCTCACTTGTTACTCTGCTTTCCTGATAGAATTACTCATATAAAACTGTTGACTTCCTTTCCTTGGATACAAAGAGACCAAATTCTAGTACTTCCATCTATATTGCCTTTTGCTCTTCCTTTTGTCCTGTCTATGTCCTTTAGCCAAGGAATACACTGTACTTGAACTAAGTGGACTTTTTTTTGCTATTTGAAATTAATAGAGGGGCACCATGGAGAACCATAGGGTTTTTCAGTAAGAGGGTATTCGAAAATACTTATTATAGGATTTAGACTTGTATTAAGTGATTTGAAGGAGGGTTCAAGGAAGCTTGGCTATCATATACTTGTGTCAAAAAGCGGGTGTGATTTTATGTTTTGGTGCAATCATGTCTCTTATCAAGAAACAGGGTGACCCACTATCCCAGTATGCTTGAGTCTGAGGGGACTCCTGGGACACAGCATTTTCAGTGCCCAAACCGAGAAAATTCCAGGCAAACTGGGAGGAGATGGTTACTCTATCCGGAAAGCAAGACAAAGAAAAGAGGCTGAGGCTGGAATTTCTGAAAAAGCATCTTCACTCCCAGGAACCAGAACTTGGAATAATTGATCATGTTTGTGGTTTGGTCAAAGCTCGTGTTTTTGCCTGGATTCAGACATGATTACAAAGTGGTCCCATCTCTAACTTGGTCTATCACGGTGACAGAGTGGCCTTGTCTGATGTTGATATTGCTCTGAGCAACACCAAGGCCTTTTACGGTGTCTGGCCAGTTTCCAGCTGTCAGGGGCTTCTTCCCTCTTTTGGGAATTTGAGGACTGCTTTTGGGATTGGCCTAAAACCTTACAGGTGTGATCTAGTAATGAAAGCCTTGGTTTCAGCCACATTGTCTCTGTGACCCAATGCAGTGCTTTGAAGGCATTGAAACACTGAGTGATAACAATATTATTATCTCTCTTAATATAATAATGAATGAGACCAAATGCTAAATTACTAATTGCTGAAATTTTTTAAATCAAATATTGTTTTTTCTTCTTTGAGATTCAAAATTCATATTAGCATGTTTCAGTGTACTTAGTAAAACTGCCATAAAGAAACCCAATTTAGCCCTGGCCAGTTTGGCTCAGTGGTTGGAGCGTTGGCCTGCAGACCAGAGTCCCAGGTTTGGTTCCTGCTAGGGGCACGTAACAAAACAAAAAAAAGAGAGAGAGAGAGAGAAAAAAGAACCCAATTTATGTGATATAGAATTTTTTTTTTTACAGAACACATTAAAATTTTGATGAACACTAATATTCTACTATTAAACTGGTTGGTGTTTTTTCTTAAAAACTAGAAGTGTATGTAAAAGGTAAATAATTGTTCTTATTCAACTTGTTCCAATTGAAAATGAAACAAGTTTTCTTAATTAAAGTTATTGAAAATATATACTTACATGTTTTTCTGTTCTGTTTTAACAGAGAAAATATTAAATGCTGGTTGGATTCTTTTCAGGGAAAACATTTAACTGGTAGATGAACATATTAAGTAGTTGCTTTAGTTTAGTCACTAAGGTTATAACACGAGTTAAATTGTGGATCATTATTATAATTACTAACATTGGTTTTTAAACTCAGCTTGGTTGTTCTGTATATAAATAAAACTGATTGTTCAGCATTTCGTCTTTATAACAATGGGGGAAATAAAATGTCCTTTGCTATATTATAATCTACATCCATGCACTTTTCTCTAGGTTCTAACGACTACCTTGAGGTCATTCCAATGGACGTAAGAGTGCGACATTCTCGGGGAGTAAGTGAGACAAAGCAAACTGAAGAATTACCTGAAGTTTCAGGAAGCAGCAGACCACTGGCAATGGTGCTTCCCACTGAAATCCCCTGTGAGGTCAGTAAACAGGCCTTATTTAAGTGGCTCCATCATTTTAATGGATATTGCTTTGCAATAAAATGTAAGCTCCAAAATGGCTGGCATTTTTGTCTGCTTTGTTCATGGCTGTATCTTCAAGCCTAAAACAATGTCTGGTGATTAGTAGGCATTTGATATATATTTGTTGAACAATTGACTATTGGAGAATATCCGAAAGCTTAATTTTATCAACAGTTACTTGATGTGTTGCAAAGAGATTTACAACTGCTACATATATCAAGCTATTTAAAAAAGAATATTGGGTTTGTATTAACCAGATCAAAGATTTTATTTTCATAAAGGTAAACATATTCTTTAATAGAATTTGAAAATATTTATTTTCAGGGTGGTCAATATTTCAATGATAAAACATATATCAAAGGCCTACATTATCAAAGGGGAATACCATAAGATCTAAAAGAGTTGGTGCCTTGGGGAGTAAAGTTGAATGGAGGGGGAGCGGGATTTCTGAAGGTCACTATATGAATACATATTGCTGACATTTTTTTCCTCTTATCATTCTTGGAATGAACAACTGAAATAAGCCTCCTGGTAGAGCCCTATATGAATCTCAGGCTCTGTAATCTCTAGACAGTAAAGAATGCTTGCTTTCAGTGTCTGTGTCTTTAGGTGGGAGGAGCCAAAGCTACAGGACAGCCTTGGGAGCTACATGCAATGCCTTCTGGTAGAAGCCAGTAGATTTACTTCATGGGATGATAGGGGCAGCATTGTTTGCTTTGTCTCCATATTCGGCTGGGACCAGTGGTCCTGGGGAAAGCTGTACCTTCTGTGCAGTTGGGCAGAGTTTAATTCCCTCACCCCCAGACTCTATGCCTAAGCAGAAGAATCACATTTTTAAACTATTATGCTATTAGCCCTGGCCAGTTTGGCTCAGCGGTTAGAGCGTCGGCCTGCGGTCTGGAGAGACCCTGGTTCGGTTCCCGCTAAGGGCACGTACCTCGGTTGCAGTTTGTCCCCGGCCTGGTTGGTCGTGCGGGTGGCAGCCACTCGATGTGTCTCTTCACGTCGATGTTTCTCTCTCTCTCCCTTCCTCTCTCTCCCTCCCACTCTATCTGTACAAAAAATGGAAAAATGTCCTCGGGTGAGGATAGAAAAAAAAACACACAAAAAAAACCTATTATGCTATTAGTTCCAGAGGAACAAAAACTTCTCTGATGCATCCTTAGACACCCCAGGAAACTGAACTGTATAGGTTCGAGGTAACTGGCACACATAATCAAGCAAGGAAAAAATTACAACCACTTAAAGGGTTCAACAACTCAGGGGAGGAACCTCAGGCTAAACAATCAGAACTGGTGGCTTCTATTGAGTCAGAAATAATGGAAGAAACAGAAATAAATATAAGAGACTATAATAAAGGAGAAATGAGAACTGTTCTCTAGTAAATAAAATAAAATTTAAAAAACCCTCTGGAACTAAAAATAGCTCACCAAGAATTATACAATGAGTCTAAATAGCTGCTTTTAAAAATATCTGTAACAGTAAAATTTGAATAATGTAAAACCTTTCCAGTATTAAATTTTCAGAGAAATTAAAATTCAAAAATGAAACCTTATTACCCTCCAGGCAGAGATGGCTGGTTCGGATCAGGGTTCTTTCAATGGCAGAATCATGGGCAGTTTTTAATTGACATGGAAATAATTCTTCCAGATCCTCTGAATGTAAATCGTATCATTTTAAGATTTCTCTTGGGTACCCCACTTTTCAAGAGTTGAAAGGTCATAAAAAAATATTTTAGCATGAGCCCAACACACTAAAAATTCAAAATAAGCTAATCCCTAGAACAAAAACTGTTACCCCAGTCAAAACCTTGTTCTCAGAACCTTGATCTTAGTACAGTCTGAATCTACATGACAATTGCCAAGCACAAGAGGAGAGATAATTTGTATCCAAATAAGGGGAAATCATGCTTCAGATTTGCCAGGAAAACATTCAGTCTATGCCTATTGTCTGAAAACACAACCCTTGAACTCACTCATTTCTGAGAAGTCTTCCAACTAGTGGATAAATAGAGACCCCTTAAGAATATAGCCTCCTCTACCAAAAGGTGATATTTGATTCTCTGCAATCTTACAAAATTGAGAAATTTACCAGCTACCAGGTCTTATTTGAGATGTGCCTCTTTCACAACCAGCATCTTCAACATCTATTCATTTCTTCATGTACTTTTTAAAACTTACAATGTTTTTATTTTAATTTACCTGTATCTTTATTTTAATAACCTGTATCTTTATTGTTGAAAGCATTACAGCTGTCCCCCTTCTTCCCCCATTGACCCCCTCCTCCCAACTCCTCCCCCCCATCTTCACTGCATTATTGTCTGTGCATATATGCATATAAATTCTTTCTTTTGGTTTATCTCTTCCTGACTGCCCTCCCTCCCCCCAAGCCCTTTCCCTTTCAGGTTTGTCAGTCTGTTCCATGTCTCTGGATCAATTCTGATCATCAGCTTATTTTGTTTATTCTATTCCACAAATAATTGAGATCACGTGATACTTGTCTTTCCCTGACTGGCTTATTTTGCTTAGCATAATACTCTCCAGGTCCTTCCATGTCATCTCAAAGGGTAAGAGGGTCCTCTTTTTTTTTTTTTTTTTTACAGCTGCATAGTACTCCATTGTGTAAATGTACCATAGCTTTTTTTATTCACTCTTCTACTGATGGACACTTGGGCTGTTTCCAGATCTTAGCTTCTTTTGTGTTTCCAGCATACCAGTGCTGAGTTGACTCTGAGTCCTATCGAGTGGCATAATCTTTGTCTTTCTGATGAACATGGATTTTGTTTGAATATGTCCTGCTGCTGCCTCTTGCTATAGAGCTGCCTAGGTCTGGGGACCTGCCTGGAAGTGCTCTCCCAGTTCCCTCCTGTGTTCTGGAGAATCAGCTTGTGTGGGTTACTTAATTGAGGTAGTGAGCACTGCTGATGCTGATATGCTTTGTGAGCCCAAGAGCCTTGGAGTATTATTGCTCCCTTGGCCTTGTCATCATTCCCAGCATCGTTGCTTTCCACAGAGTTTTATTTCCTGGGCCTTGAAAATCTTGTCCTTCTTTAAAAACAGCAGAAAATATTTTTTCTTCAACATTTTCTTTTCATGGATTGGTGAAGATGTGCCTCTAGAGCTCTATGTATGTCGATTATTCCCTGTCCCTTTGAAAATACCCAGGTGGACTTTAACAGGTTAGGTCTGATACTTAATTTTGGTTTCTTTCTTTACTTTCTTTTTTTTTTTTACAAAAAGGATTCGCATTCTTTGTTCTATTTTGATAGGTCTATTTTTTATCTTTTTTATTAAAAAATTTTAGTGTTGACATTATGGCAGATGTCTCTCATCCCTCCCCGCTGTGCCCACCTCCGCCCGCCCTTGCCTCCCCTTCCTCAGCCTTCACCACACTGTTGTCTGTGTCCATGGAATGTGCATACATGTTCTGTAGCTATTTTAATATTTATCGATCTTTTTATGGGCCATGGAATTTATTTTTCTAGCATATTCCTCTTGATTTTGTTTTCTGGTGTAATTGATTATGAGAGATATGAATGAGTTCTGTCTGCCTAGTGCACCCATTGTTCTAATGAATCTTATCCAATTTTATATCCGTGATGAAAATTCTACCTGGGAGACATTCTCCTACTGGAACAGTATCTAAACCAGAACTGGACCTGGTCTACTATTTGCTAGTTTCTCTTCCCTGTGTTGTGTGTTACTTCAAAGTCTTAATTCCATTAATTTTTCTGGCGAATTCCCTCAGAGCAGCGATTTTCCTCTAAGAATGATCTTGTCCTCCTTCCCCCAGAGGACTTTTAACAAAGTGTGCAGAGAGTTTTGGTTGTCATAACTGGGGGCTGCTATGGGCATCTACTGCATAGAAGCCAAGGATGCTGCTAAGTATTGTATAATGCACAGGGCGGTCCCCGCAACAGTGACTTCTCTGGTCTAAAAATGTCAATAGTGCCAAGGTTAAATCCTGTATCATCTCAGAAGATAGGAAATACCTTCATGCTCTTTACAGTAATAATCACCTTCAGATACTAATGGCATCGAGAATTCAGTGCTTCCCTTCAGAGACTTCTCTTCAACCTTCCCAGTTGTCTCTAATTACTTGCTGGAGCTATGTAACCTGTAAGCAGTGATTCCAGTCACTCTTTTTTTTGGGGGGGGTACCATATTTCTTTATATGAAGGATAGTACATGAAAGAACATAAGTAGATGATTTGGTACAACTTATACAAAGGCGAAGGTAACCCCCGCATGCATGCAGTGCTTTGGTGACCAGTGACGTCACCCTGTGCTATGGGGAGTCAGCCTGAGACCGAGCTCTCATCGTGGTCTCCCAGGGCATGCTCCTCAAAGAGACCCCTGCCATGCCAGGGTCAGGGGCCCGTCTTGGGCAAGCACTGGTGGTACAGTGATGAGTCTAGCTGTCTTCTAGCCACTCTCTTTATGGATTACATCTGGAGCTTTAAGAGGCAGCCTCTAAATGTTTTCCTTAATGGATCTGCTCAGAAGTATGTAGTTTGCTGTCTGATGCCTCCTGCCTCTTCCATCATTTCTCTGAGTCCCCATCACAGGCTCAGTTGTGGCTTCTGTATTTCTTCCTCATACATTTATCACCATCCCAAAGAGCCATTAAGAGTGACCTTATGTTCTTGATCTTGTTTTATCTTTGGAGGCCGGCCTTCTGTTTCTTCCCTTCCCTTCCTTTCGGTAGAATCTGTTTGCTGAAATCTTAGATTTTCTCCCCGTCAAATCTCTTACTCCCTCCGGTATAACCAATATTTATTTATTTCTATGTTATTCTCCCAGTGCTGTTATTCTGATGATAAGACTAAAGCATATTTTTAAAAGTAGCTCCGTCACTTGATTTCTTGAGCAAGTTTAATTCTTAAAGTTATTGTATAACCACTAAAGGCCTTTAAGTAGCTTTATCAGTATTTAGATCTATATTAATTTTGTCAAATTATCTTTCTAATTAAATCCTAGATCACAGCATATTTTCCAATAAAGACTTTCATTTTATTTGACCTGTTCATTGATATACCTCTGTAGCTGCAACCATAACATGTTTCTAAACCCATAGTGCAGACCACAGATCATGTAATTTACAAATCCAGTGAAACCCTGAGTCTGTATGAATGGTGTGCCTTGTATGGGTCCATTGACAAGTCACATGAATCTCAGAGATTACCTCCTACCTATTTATCCCGTGGCCCTGATTCCAGAATAAAACAATATGCAGAAGCTAACAGCACTGCCCACTTATTTCTGACACCAAATCACACACTAGTTCTTGGTAACTATCCTTAACTGAAAGTCTGATCTTGTGATTTAATTTTTAAAAATACAGTAAAAATAGGAACAACAAAAAAATTGTGTGTATCAGTGCCAAAAATCTATATGTTGTGGAGTGCTACCCCTTTGACAGTTAAGGTTTTACAATGACTAATAGATGTATTTTCCCATTAACCAAGTGGTTTTTCAAACTAGGATGCCCATAGGTATTATTAATGGAGTTTTAAAAAAATAATAATAATAATACCTAAATTCTATACCCAGTGACTGTTCAGATATAACTGTTCTGGGTTATGGCCTGAACATTGGGAGTTTTAGAATCTCCTCGCTGATGTGGAGGGTGAGACTTAGCATCCCAATTTGGAACCATTACATAACTTAATCCCTGCTCTGCAGTCATGGGTCAGATCCATGGTGGCTGTAGCAACTGCACAGCCCTGCTTAATAAGGCCCACGCCTCTGTACTCGTTAATAAGCTAGTGGCTATTAAAGTAGTCATGAATATAGGAAAAGAGTCACTGGTCTGTGTACAAAAGTCACAGTAAGCTGATATGATGACCACTAGGATCAAAATTATCTGTTGCCTGTGCTTAATAAAGACAGCCACCCTGACAGAACCAGAAACTTCACTATCGATATGTCATATTGTCGACCAAGCTTCACCCCTTTTGTTTAGGTCTCAAAGTTTCTGACTAATGCAGCAAACAAACCATTAGAGTTTGGAAGTGATAATGATCATAGCCCTTTCTCTCTTCGAATGCTCAGAACTGAATACGGAATAAACAGAGAAAAGATTGGAGAAAAATAGCAGCTTCATAACTGAAAACACTAAATTTATGACCATTTGACTATCCTAGCATCCCCTTCATGGAATTACACATGTCTGTATAAGCTCACCTTTAATTAGGATGTCCACAATAATTAAGGACAGGGCTGGACGAGTGCAGTCCTTCCTCCTGGAGCAGGCTTCTTCCTGCATGGACATGCAGGGACCAGATAAAGCTGTGAGACCTGAGGGAGATAAGGAGTAGAGCTGAACGTGCTCAATTTTCACAGTCCTATTTTCATCTTAATTTGAAGATATGAACAGATTGTATTTTATGTACAAAGTTCTTGCAAGATGCTCCAATGATACAAAAAAAAAAAAAAAAACTTTCAGGATGCTTGAAATCCAGTTGAGAAGACAAGCCCTATACACAAAATACCAATTAAGAGCAGAGAGTATGATTTAGAAAGGGTCAGATAAACAGTGTGGATGTAAAATTCTTGGTGATTCCTTTGGAGCTGAAAAACTCCTCATGGGCTGAAGTTGTAGGAAGGATTTGTGGAGCTGGTGAAATCTGAGTTGGACTTTGATGCAGAGAGTCAGTATGGAGAGATGAAAGGAGATAAGGAACTAAATAGCAGCCAGCATTATGTGCAAACAGGACTGGCTACCTAATCAGCAGGGCCCAATGCAAAATGAAAATGCTGGTGCCCTTGTTCAATTTATTGAGTACTTCAAGGCAGGGACAGCAGAACATTAAACTAAGTACAGGGCCCTGCTAAGTATAGAGCCCCCTGCAGTTCCACGGTGCTTGCTCATGAATCTGGCCTTGTGTACAAATGAACATGTAAGTGCCTCATTTGGGTGGTCACCCTGCTTGCCTTTGGTTTAGAAGTTTTCTCTAGAATAAGTTGAAAGGTGGAACTGTGCCCTCTATTAAGGAGAGAATCAATGCACAAGAAGCAGCCTGTTGAAACACTCATGAATGAGAATGAGTTGCCTGGGTGAATAAAACATTGGGGAGGATGCTTAGGCTCACAAGGTTTGGAAGGAGAGAGGTCAAAGTTAATTAAGAAGTGATGTTTCCATGGAAGAGAACTCTGAAGAACTTTGAAGCGGGAATTGGGGATCTGAGCCAAAGTGAAGTGGGAAGTCCTTAAAGATTTGGGGTAAGATGACAGATATGAGTAACAAAGGAACTAGAGAAGTGTGGTAGGTGTGAGGTTCAGTGTAGAGGAGGTTGCAGAAATGAGGATCGGAAGTGGCTCACAGTCCTGACCTCCAGGACTCAGACGAAGTAGCGCATTGGAGGAGGTACAGGGAAGACAACAGGAAAGTGTTTCAGATGGTGGGCGAGGGTGAGAGGAGGAACAGACCTAGTGGACGTTCTCTTGAGATAGGATCTTTTTTGATGTGCAACTTAATTGGTGGAAAGACATTTACATCAAACTACCCTGTGGACAAATATCTGGGAGCACTGGACCGTGGTGGGAAACTCCCAAAACGGATGTGTGTCAGCTGAAATGATCTTGTAAATCAATGAATGTGTAGAAACTCGTTGGTACAGAGCATTAAAGATGTAAGTGTCATTGGCAATTTTTTTCTCAGGGAGATAACATTTAAATAAGAGAACTTTGGGGTAATCATGAGTTTATAAGAGCATATAAATGAGGCTCGTGTTTATTTTGTTAGGAACTTAAATTTAGTTTGACTTTGAAGAAAGCTTTTGAAGGGTGATATCTGAGGTAATAAAAAAATAGCATTTCATTTTAGTTATTTTGAAGGGTTAAACATGATGTGAAGAAGAGTGCAGATGTTGAATTTAGGTAGTTCTGATTCCTGTTCAGATGTAACTCTGTATTAGATACCCTGTTCAGAAAAGGGAAATATAATAGTCTTCCATTTTGCTCTTGGTGTGTGCATTTATTTGCATGTGTGTGTATGTGTATGTGTGTTTTGGTTAAGATTTAAAAATCTTTATATAAAATGTGCTTAGAATAAATTTTAGTGTAAAATAGGTGCTTAGTAAATTTTTATTTCTTTTGTTTCTCTGTATTAATCTTACCCTAATTAAATTTTTTCAAAAGTTTTTCAATAATCCTTATTACATCATATACATAGATTTAGCTTTTCCATCTTAATAAAATCTTTAAACTTTTACATTTATAACCTTTAGTCCACTCAGTAACCTTCACAGATACCCATCATAAGTAGACTAACCAGAGAATCTCTATTTGGTAAGATTTAAAACTATAGGTCTTTTAAAAATTGATCATACTTAAATTTTTAAAAAATTGTATTTAAATGTTCAGTCCTTTCACTTATACATAAATACATCAAGTTCTAGAAGGATGGAGGAAAGGAGTTTAGAAAATGAGTTTATTGAACAATTGAATTACAGTTCCCTGGAGTTCTGTGAAATGATGCTCATCACACTGAGACAGGGACCCTCACACACAGGAAAGAGTCAAGATGAAAAGGGAGCAGTTATATATTCTCACTACTTTTTCAGTTGCAAAATATGGTATTGGAAAAAAAAATTGAACATTCAGTAGACACCAAGTTTGTAAACTCAAAACGTAGTGAGAATCACATTTACATATTTCATTTCTAAATATGGTTGAAAATTTGGACCTGATAGAAGACATGTAATGGTCATTAATACACATAATGGGTTATTTGATTAATATAAACTTTTTAAAAGGTTTAATTGAGTTATATTTTTTATCTTATAGAATCCTGGTGAAATATTTATTATTTTGAGAGATGAAGTAATTGGTGATACCGTGGAGGTTGTATTTACGTCAGATAGTAAATGCATTAAAACACGGCCCGCCCTGTGGAATAAAACAGTCTGGTGTATGAAAGCTTTAGGTAAGAAATTGTTTTGTCTTTAATAAATATCATCCTGAATTTCTTTCAATAAATTAATGATAAATGGTTTCACTTCCCTACAGAAAGTAATATTGTTCTGCAGGTGTTTCCTGTGTTTAGCTTTCACATACCCAAGGTTGTTACTATTCATCTGAATTTATAAGAGTACAAATGTGTAAATTATGAGAAATTAGCTTGTGTACCATATTATGAGACAGTATCCAGTAAAATCATATGTTTTTATATGTGTCAGCAGAGAACACTTGCGTGTTGTCTTAAATATGGAACTAAAATGATCAGTTTTATTGTAACAAGATTAGTAGATAGTTGGATTTTCATTAATGTATTTTGAATTTTTTTTTTTTTTGCTCCTCTCTCTCCTCCCTCCCTCCCTGCCTCCTGATCTCTGTCTTTTTTTGTCATGCTCCTGAGTATATTTTTGGTTGTTTTGGAAAGCATAAATCTTTGTCACTACTTTATCATCATGGTAACATTTCTATATACAATCTTCCCTTCTTTTTCTTATTTAATTTATGAAGCTGATCATTTCATTATACAACTTTGCTTGCAGCATGATAAATAGTGTCAGATGGGATATCTGCTCATGCCACAATAATTGTACTAAATTCAAAATCTGTATTAATTTCTGCATGTTTTGATAAAAAATGTAGGACTACTTGTTCTTTCAATTTATCTTGTGACAGTCAGAGAATAAAAATTACCTTACAAAACTTTATAAATGCAAACTTCATAAAATATTTTAAAGTGAAAGATATGCATTCCTACTGTGAGTTTGGAAATGTAAAAATATTTAAAATGAAAGAATATGTCAAATGCCTCCTGAGCTTTTTCATGTCGCTGTTGTGAAGTAAGTCTATTTACAGAGCATTTGCAAACCTTTCCCATTATGCTATGCAAAGCATGTGTCCCCTCCATGAATTTCCTTGCACAGCTGAGGCGAGAGTTCAGTTACAGAAAGGAAAGACTCTATGCCAAGCATCTGTAAACATTTCAGACACTGCTTCCTCTCATGAACAGAGATGCACAGAAGTAAGATGAGAAAGGGTACTCTCTGCCTCTTTTCTTTCTCTTCCAAAGACCATTACTTCCTTAATCCACAGTTTAAAATGATTTAACGAAGATTAATTTGAACTAATTGATTTTGGAATTTAAACTAAATCTAGTTAGACTAAAACCACTATAGAAAAAAAAAATCAATATTGCAAATTAAGAAGTACTTAGATAATATTTCCCAAATAGCAGACCAAAGTGTCAAATAAAACTACTCACATTAAGATTTTATGATAATTAAAAAATATATATATGCATATTCAGTTTACCTAATAGCTAAAAGCAGTGCAAAGAATAATGCATGTCAAAGTTCAAATGTTTTTCAGAAAAGCAGAAAGCTATTGTCTATATTTTCCAAGACATACAAGTTCATAATATAGCTATGTAGATGAACAGCGAGTGTGTAGTAAAAGGAAAAAACACCACTATTTACTAGTTATAATAATTAAACCTCTCCAAGTCTTTCTTTCAGTTGGTGTTGTTCTGTAAATCAATGAGAGATTTTCTTAGGAAATTTTGGCTGCTACCTGCTGTGCAGCAACGTATAGATAATTCCATGAGTATGTGTGGGATATGGATGGGACATGCCTCAGCAGAAATAGCCCTAGGGTTTTATTTTCTCTGCCACATGGTACTAGTCTTAAAAAGTTTTGAGCCCTAGCAAGAACTAGATTTTATATCATGACCCAGTACATGTGTATAAATCCATAACTAAAGCCAAGGTTGTCAAAGCAGGAGTTAGACTAATGGTGTTAGCCCTGACATGTAGAACATGGATGCTGTCACTTCCATTCTTATACCATGAAAAAGCGGAACAAACTGAAAATAAATGACTTTTCTTGAGTTCATCGAGAACTATGGTTGCTGGGCAAACCACCATCCCAAAATGTGGAAAGAAAGGTAAACCAAGAGGGTGACATCCAAGCTCTGCCCACCTGGAGCAGAAGTCCCGAGAGCCAGAAACTGGGAGGATTGCTTGAATGGCAATTTTGATGAAATCCTGGTGGCTGAGTGTGGGCTGCTTTGAGAGTAGGCATCTCCTGGGGACTGTAGTCTTGTGAGGCACCTATAAATTTGTGGGATTTATCTACAGGAACCTCACCAGGTTCTCAGAGTGAAGATCTGAGCTCCTCTGGAGGCTCTGCAAGATCAGAAGAAGAGTAATCATAGTTAAATGCTCCAAGTATGCTCTCCATAACCATGCTCTCCACTTTACCAGAGTTTTATTCCAGCTGGGAAAGGGCATCCATCCCACTGTGACCTCTCCAGTCTTCCTGGAGGTGTAGAAGGAAAGCTATGCTACAGCAGAAACATCTGTGAAGATCACAACCAAGAGACATGGGCCCATTAAGAGACTGAGACTTAATTATAAGATCAGAATGCTTCCGCTCTCCCCAGCCTGCCCACCAGCACCACCACGGTGGGGCTCCATGTAATGGCAGTGAATCGCAGCCGACATTGCTGCAAGATGCAGAATCTTTCTGAGGAGGAGCACTTAGGGAAGCTCAGGGTCAAGAGGGACGACAAAACAAGGACAATAGAGGAATTTGAAGCTTCTGGTATGTGTAGTTATAGCAAACATTAATTAAATCCATCCCAGCTCCCAGCCAGATTGCTATACATTCTCACTGTATGCCTACTGACTTCATTCCTTACACCTGACACAATATGGCTGGTTTTCAACATGAAATTACAAGTCATGCCAAAAGCCAAGAAACAACATCAGTCTAAAGAGAGAGAGAGCAAACTACAGACCAGATTTAGTTGTGGCACGGATGTTGGAATTATCAGACAGGGAATTTTAAATAACTCTGGCTAATATGTTAAGGGTTATAATAAAAAAGTAGACAACGTGCATGAACATGCAAAAGGCAATATAATCATAGAGCTAGGAATTGTATTTCTTTTTATTTTTTAAATGCTAGACAACACCTAGTTTTGGCGTAAGAGAGAGTCCCAGCATGCTCTCAAAGGCGAATGATTAGTCCAGAATATGCACATAGTGAAAGAAACAACCAGTGATCAAGAGAACTGTTTTCATTTTGTGTGGAGCCCTTTATTGGGTAATTTGAGACAAGTCTCTTGATCATTTTGTGCCTTAATTTTCTTGCCCTTAAAATAACTCCTCTACTTACATTTTAAATACTTACTTATAGGATGCTTAGAGACAAGGAAGGTGAGATACAAAGCCACACTTAAAGAGACATCCAACTGAGGAACATGTCAATCTCTCCCTCTAGCTATTCCCCTAAACAAAAGGAGTGGTTTTTCTGATATAATGCACCCTCAGTCTCTGGATGGGGTGTGGTAAACCATTTAAAAATTTGTTTCTCTTCCCTACAGGGAAGATAACTGAGGAGTCCATCTTTCTCCACAAAAGCTGTATGCTTGTATGACCCTTCTCTTTAGTCTTCTGTTTATATTTCTTAATGTAGAAGCTACCAAAATCGTTTGTCCCCTTTTGCCCTTGGGGAATCATGCTCAGGGGAGCTCCCAATTCTATGTCATCTCATAGGTAATTCCTGTACCTATTGGACAACTTTCAAGACCAGAAATGATCTCAGTCAGCATCCCACATCATCTTTAAAACATTTTTCTGTACTTTTTTCACTACCAAGTTAAAATGGAGAGATCAAACACCAAAGTGGAAGCACACCAGAAACCCTCCCCCACACTCAGAATTCTTTTGAAGGATATTGATGCCTCTGTGTTGAGAGGAGGCCTCTATCTGTCCAGTATCTGTTCAGTCTAGGAAAAATGCTCATGTGATTTTTGATCATGTGACCCAAGACTTAGTCACATGACTTAAAATGTGGTGTGTTTCCTATAAATGTTCCCTTGTGCTGTAACCAGAGTTTCCAATACTAAATCTGGTTGGTGTTGAGGGCTACTATGGCAGCTTCACAGTATTGTCCAGGACACAAGCTTATTTCTAGTCACCATTCCACCGTCCTAGAGTTTGGCCATACTTATCATGGAACAAGGTTGCCCCTAAGACTTGCTATCACACGTATGTTCAGAACAACATGACAAAGTAGTGGTGTACTGGAACCATTTTATACTGGATTGCAAGAGCCTATTTTAAATATCTCTTTCCTAATTCATATTAAGTATAACAGAATACCATAGATGGGATGGCTTAACCACAGAAATCCATTTTCTCACAGCTCTGCGGGCTAGGATTCTAAGATGAAGGGGCTGAAAGTTGGTTTATGGCAAAATCCCTTTCTTGGCTTGCAGACGGCCATCTCCTCTCTGTCTCAACATGACCTTTTCTCTTAGCACCTGCACTTCTGGTATCTCCTCTTCTTCTTATACGGATGAAAGTCTTATTAGATACGGCCCCCATCCTTATAACCTTATTTAACCTTACCTTAAATTTCTCATCTCCAAATACAGTACATCAAGAGTTATGGCTTTAACATTAGAATTTGGGGGACAGGGTACATCGTATAGTCCATAAGACTTTGGTAGCTTGAAATCAGCCATAGTGCAAGTATTTACATTACAGAAATTGGAAAATCTAAGAATCAAGGCTTTTTTCTTTTTAGAGTGTCAGTTTCATAGCACACCACTGGAAACAAAAACAAAGGTTTCATTAAATAAGAAAGTTTCTGTAAGATATAGCTACTGATATCTCGTTAGTCAGAACTTGATCCCAAGGTGATATCTAGCTGAAAGAAAGAGTAGGAAATCTAGTCATTTTAGTTGGGTAGAAGTGTATCCTACAACAATAAAAGAAAATTAAAAAATCTGTTTCTACAAGGAAGAAGAGAATAGACATTGGGTAGACAAGTAGCATTTCTGTTAAAGGGTACCCCCAAGACCAACTGCTCTATTTCTTTGTTTGGCTACCTCCTCCTAACCATTTAAGTGTGTGTGTGTGTGTGTGTGTGTGTGTGTGTATGTGTGAATAGTCTCTCTACATTGAGGCATATCAAATGCTCACGTCTCCTTCTTACAGTTCTCATATAAACCTCTCCAATTTCTCTCTGTCCAATTCAACACTGTACCATGTTAATGTTCCTTTTAAATGTAGGTTTCTTTCTAACTTAATAACAACTCAGAATAACAAAATTATATTAAAGTACAATATGCCAAACTGGGAAGGAATTCTAAGATGCTCTTTTTTCTAAATGCTCTCTTTCTTTTCCTTCGGACACACTTCCAAATATTAACTGGATTTTTAATTTGAGAAAGTAGCCTCTAATTTTTTCTTCTTCTTTTCAGTTCAATAAGTTGATAGACTTATAATTAATTTGTTTTCTAAAATCACATCTTCCCAATGGTGTTCACAAGTTTGTCTCTGACAGAGACTGCTTCATGTTAAAGGAATTTAAATTTACTATATCCCAGTGTATGCCAAAACATATAAAAATACATGTTAGGGCTTTAAACCAGGACTAGTAACTAATTCTTACGCAGAATGAAGAGGGTATTCCTCTGGTACCTGCAGCTCAGCTAGAAAAATATTTTACACAGCAGGGGACAACCAATTAAAAGTTGAAAGGAATATAAAATGAATCTACAAAGATACAGAATATCTTTATTAGGGAGCTGTTTTCTGAATAATATTAATTATAACTTTATATTTCATTTAAAAAGAATGAAAAATACTTTAGGGTGTGCAAAATATTAATCTGAATCTGCTTAGAAAAATGACAATTTTTCTAAATCATCTTCAGGAAGATGATTTTAACAAAAACTGATATTAATTTTTAGGCATGATCAAGGTTTTGAAGCTACTGATATTTACTTAATAATACTGTTCTAATCAAAGGAGTCATGTTGATTTCAGTTCCCATGGAAACATCTGGAAGGTTCATGGAGGGTTTACCATGTGTTAAAGGGCTCACATTGGTGCTTAAAGGAGCACGGCGTCTCAGGCAATGAAAGTACGTAAAGCAAAAAGCCCTGTAATGGATTTGTGAAATATCCTTTTAAATATCATTAGTTAATATAATTCTGACTCCTAAAAAAATACCCTTGGACTGTATTTTTTATAAATTAGTTTTACCTTCATCAGGAAGGACAGACTACTAAATCACAGAGACAGGAAAGATTGACAAGGACTCCTGAAGAGCCTAGAACTTGAGATTTGAGTAGATTTTTAAAAATTCCATTGCCCCTCTGTAAGTGTACCTTGTGTATCTATGTCTGATGGAGACAAAGAGTTCTTTTCTTTTTCCTTTCATTATAAATTCTTTTTTCTTCTTCCCAGCTGACTCTTTTGCCCTTGCTTGTTTCAGTGATTTTGACCTGTATTTGTGTGTACTGCTAGTGTTCAGTGTGACTTGCCTACTTTAGTGTAGATAATAAATAGAAGAATTTACTTTTCCTCTCTTCTATTTGAGTCCTTAACATAATTGATTTTATTTTCATTGAAGAGTTATACAATGAATACACCATCGTGATCACAGTTATTGTAAAATAAGGCTCAAACTATAACGGGTATTGTTCACACAAAAAAAACGCCAATTTAGTAATACATATAAAGGAGGGCCTCCCAACCAGATGAATCCATAACTTGTCTTTCTTGATATATGGCTGGTAACAGTAATTAGGTCTTATTTAATCACTGACATTCAATAGATATGAAAATGTACCCAGCAAAGACAGTACTTCAAAGGACATCTCTTTGGAGGATTACTCTAAAATCAACATCATTATCAATAGATCTAATGGCAATGTTTTGAGTAAACTAATGGCTCCAGATATCAGAAATAAATTAACTCATTTTAATGTTCCATTCTAAAGAAATTAGAGCATTTTAAGTATTCTATATCAAAGAAGCAGCAATCAAATCTTACCATATCTCTCTTATGGTTTATCATCCGACTTTCTTTCAGAAAGGTAACAATGCCCCATTGTAAAACTCCTAATCTCTTTTCTGATAAACAAAATCAACATCTTCATTCAAAATCATCCTTATGAAATTTACTGAAATTTATTTCATTTGACTCCAAAAACTCCAGAATCCCCCTTACCATATGTGCACAGCTGTAGCTGACAAGATGCCCTTTACAACTTTCTGTTTTTGTTGTGATTTCTTTTTCGTTCTCGATTGAACAGATACTTACTTTAGGAAGAGAGAACTTTCTTCTTATGTTTCCTTTATGATACAGGTTAAGTGTATAGTCAAGCAATGTGATAAGAGGAAATTTCAGCTTCTTCACTTAGTTAAGCTTAAAGTTGCTATTGTTGGCTTTAGAGTACCCTGAGCAATACTGTAAGGCCCTTTAGCCTACGTAGGAGATAAAGTAAAATTAATGCTTAAACCTTAATAACTTTTAAATATTCAAAGCTTCATTAGGAAGTTAGGGTTATACACGAGCTTTTCAGTCTTATACTTATTGCAAACCCCAGATGATCAAGTGACAATGTTCCAAGAGAATTTGGAAAATGTCTTCAGAACAAAGAGTGAATGTTTTTAAAGTGTGTTCTGAAAATGAATTAAAAGAGATAAATTTTGTTTACTGGTTTTTAAAATATTTTCTTCTTTATTGATTCGAGAGAGAGAGGATGGAAGACGGAGAGAGAAAGATAGAAACATCAGTGCGAGAGAACATCGATTGGCCACCTCCTGCATGCCCCCCAGCTGGGGATTGGGCCCACAACTGGGCATGTGCCCTGCCTGGGAATTGAACCAGCAACCTTTTGGTGCATGGGTCGTCGCTCAACTATTGAGCCACACTGGCCAGGCAACTTTTATTATAATAAAACACAATGACTTTTCTAGTGAAATGACTGTTTATTGTTTTTCTTTCATGGAAAGGCCAAAATTCGTAAGTAACTAACTGTTGGCATGTTAGACACCAACATGTTATTTTTATAGTTATGAGAATTCACAATGAAGCATATCAGTCACTTCAAACAGTTTGTTGACTGAAGGCTTTGGATAAATGTATGGTGTAACTAGTACTTAAGTAGCTGGGCATTATACCTTGCCTTCCCAAAGGGTTTTCATTATAAACAATTGAGTAGAAGTTTTATTTCAATTGACTCCACTCTTTCTCTGTTCAAACACAATTTTGAGAAACTTGCCTATAACATATGAGAATTTTCTTCATAAAAGTAGTAACAAATACCTAACTTTTTAGGAGCAGCTTTACTGTTCCAAATCATAAATTATTATGTAAAGATGATTATGGATTATTTTTTGAAATGGAGGTTAGTAATTAGGGAGAAAGAACTTATTGCTTTGCTTTTATAATAATTCTACCATGTGTTTCTATTGTAAGGTTATTTTTTTTAAACAAGTGTTAAAACATACATTCTATTTTGTGATTTCTAAGTTCTAAGGATAAAAAACATAAGTGCTAAGTTAGTAAAATTGTTATGAATTCTTAAAGCCTTCCTTCATATTCGAAAAATATGATAATGAGAGACAAGCATTATATATTCAGCTCCTAACTCTATTTTTGTGTTTTATAAGATTTTCCTGCTGGTTCTGTCAATGTTGATGTCTACTGTGATGGAATCATTAAGGCCACAACGAAGATTAAATATCGTGCAACAGAAATGTCTGCGGGATGCCCGTTGGGAGTGGCAGGTTCAGGAGATGATGTGTGTCAGGTAAGTTGATCTTTCCATAAAGTTGATAATGACCTAAAAAGCTAATGCAGATAAAAGAATATGCTCTGGTAGAAAGTCTGTATGTTGGTTGAATAAGAATGAATTACTGATCAATAAGAAGGGAAGAAACCGACCTCTGTGGTGCAGAGATGCAGTTGAATTAGTCTGCTTAAGTCAAGCATTCTAGATAATGTCACTGGGAGACAGGTTACCCATTGCAAAATAGCTATTGTGTTAGGCTCATTTTAAAGCTGTTACAGAGCCAATTAAGAAAGACAGAAGGATTGAAGAGAAGTCTTAAAAAATTAATCTTCTTCTTACCTAGATCTGGACAATGCAAAACAAAAATCAGGCAATATGATGCTTAGAGGTTAAGATGTCAGACAAACCAGGAATACCATCAAAAAGGGAGCATGTGGGGTTAATCTAGTTAGACATTGTTATTTCCATGTGGACATTTCCAGGCTCAGTGTATGTTTTTCTTACTTTCATCTATCACTGTTATCTCATAGTGAAAATTCTTGCTTGAAGTTAACAATGTTTATTAGAAAATCCAGAGGTTAAAATTTCCTGGAAAGTATACAGGTTGCTTCTATGACTCAGCAGTGATAGCTTGGTGAGGCATCTGTGTTCCTTCTCAAAGAGCCCTTGTGTGGGACCTTTTCCAGTGAACGTACATGCTGTGAATCCTCTGCCCTCGCGGACTTGGAATGTAATGACTGCATTTTGATCAATTTTATGCCGTTGATTTAATTTCTGCATGCTATTTATCTTGTTGTTGCCTGACCCACTTTCGGTGGAGAGAAAGCTTGCTTGATGTAGAACTTTTATCCTTTATGTGCTTATTTTATCAAATTTTTAGAATGAAATAAATGCCATTTATTTTTATAGCTATTAGATAGTTAAAATTATAACCTTGCTTAATTGCCTTCTGTGTGTGTTGGGGGGGATAAGGGTAGAAGGGAGAAGAGGCAAAGAAAGAGGTACTTTCATGAACAGTGTGATCTTCAAATTCATGACAAACACTATTAAGAACTGGTAACAAAACCATCAGTGATAGGGAAGTTGACAGGTTGTCATGAAGCCTTATATATTTAAGCTAGTTTAGAATTGGAGGTTCTGTTATTTATTTTTGTGTGCCACATTTTTCTATTAGAGTTCTCCTTTATGGACAACATATTTTAGAACAATGGAAATGGTAAAAATGTCTTAGAGAAGCACAGGCAGTAAAACACCATTTGTCAAACCAGGGAGTCTGTGGACATTTGACAAAATGTCTATTTTGTAATTGCAAAGAAAGAACAAAAGTAATAGCCTGAAATACAGAATGTTTCATTTTCTTGTGACAAGTCTACCTTATCTTCTACTTTAAAAATCCTGTTCATTACAAAAAGATTAATAAAAGTGATATATTGCATTATTAATATACAGTCAGCATAGAAATAAAGTAGTCCCCCAAACACATTTTTGTGTTGGCTTTGCCTTTAGGAAGGAAAAAAACCCTTTGAGTATAGTTAAAATTAAATGTAATTTATAACTCTTGGACAGTTTTTCAGAACACTATAATGTGCAAGTTATGATTTCTTCTATAGCTCTGAGTGAATAAAAACTTTTAGATAACCAGAAAATGCTCTTTTATTTTCATCCATGGTGTCTGAAATGAGAGGTAAGGGTTATGACTATATCTTAGGATTTCTTCTCTCCACCAAGCCCTGCTGGTCTAGTGAAAGGAAGAAGGTGGACAGTCTCAGCTTGATTCAGCCTGTCACTACAAGGAAAGAACCACTTTAAACTCAAGGTCAGAGTCCTGAGAAAGAGAATTATTCTGGCTTAATGACAACAGACCACAGTGTAAGAGACATTAAGAGATTAGGGTTAATGTTTACAATTTAAGGTAGATAGGCTTAGCAATGTAGCTACTGTTATCAAGGGACCTAGGCATGTTTTGGGATTAGATCAAACAAGTCCTGAGACAGATCTCAGACCAGACCAGCTATACCATCAAACACATAAAAGAAGGAAAAGGCTGCAGTTCAGTCAGACACCACCAGATCTTACATCAAGGAAGACACAGGGTTTGTCTAATCCACTGGCATCTGCACCATACATGTCATACCTGTAATGGATTCATTAAGATGGTGATCGGCAGTCTCCCCTTGATGAAAAAGACGGAAGCACAGCGGTATCTTCTTGGTGTGTTTTAGGGACGTTCAGCCTCGAAGGAGGTGTCCCAGCCCTCACTGCTTCTTGCGGGCATGTGGATTTCCTCCCACGTAGATTATTTTTGACATTTGACTTTGTTCCCACATAGATTCTATTTTTGAAATTGTGTAAAATTCTTTGCTTTTTCTTTTTCTTTCTATTTTAGAACATTACAGTGATTTTTAAATATGTTTGCTGCTGTATCTTTTAATTGGGAAATTTGGATATTTTGCAAATAGTTCACTGAAAATCTCTCTGTTCGAAGAACAATATACATTATAATTTTGTTTATTATAGTTACTGTGTGTTTGTAAGAACATACACCAAAACATTTCAATTTTTTCAATATCCAACCTACTTAGCTAAAATGGTATATAGTAAGAGATAGCCTGAGTTTTCTTATGAATTTTAATGGTAGATGTAATTTAAGTAATCCTAAAAATTAGCAATAAAATGCTCCCTATAATCATTTAGAAGTTATTGGGCATATAATAACATGAACATTATCTGACTTTGAAGAAAGAAATAATAATGAGAAATCTGAGGATTTTATTTTTCAGTAATCCTAGAACTTGCAATAAGAGACTTTACATTATCATATAAAACCTCTTGAGCATATAGCAAAATATCATTCTGTGAATTTGAGAAAAGAAATGTAATGAGAAACTTTATTTTCTTAGTTTATTTTTAATGATGTCCATTAGGTTTTAGAATGCGTTACCAAAACCAGCTTAATTATATAACTGCTTCCTAAAATCATTTCATCTTTTTTTAATAGATACTAAATCCCAGCACATAGTCTCATAAAGATATAGTTTCAGATCATCATCTATAATGGTGAATTCAAGAGAGATTCAATGAAAGAAATCCAAAGCCCAATTTGGGAAGATAATTAGAATTCAAGTACTAGTGTTAGAAATACTAGTAACTGCTATTTAACTGAGATAATTAAAACCTTTGAGACTTTTATACTATTTACAAAAGTGTCTAGGGACAACAAAAAGTTAACTTTTCATAGGAAAAACTAGGTACAGTATAAAAGCCAAATTAGGTCAAATTACTAAAACTCAGTACAGTATAAAAAACAAATTAGAAAAAAACTAGGTACAGTATAAAACCAAATTAGGTCGAAATACTAACATGGAATTTCAAACAAACATGGAATTATTGATTCAAAGCATTAGGATCCTATTCATTCAGAGTTTTTGAAATGGTACCAAGAAATTCTTCCTAGTTGTATTTCTTTTTGGTAAAATGGTATCATTGTGTTGCATGTATTTATCATTTTGCATGTTTTACTTTATCCTTATTTAAATCTTATTTTCATATTAGGTACACTTCATTTCCATTTATTATTAAATTGTATATATTATACAATCGTTGGTTTGCTACCTGCCAATGTTTCATACAGTGAATCAGACGGAGCTGGGTGAGAACAGGTACAGGCCCGGGGAACTCTCCTATCTTTAGGAGTTTCCGAGTTGTGACTAGCTCCCTTCCAGGTTAGTTTCTTCACTAAATTAAAGCTTATGTCTTAGCAACTGTGTCCCTTAAAGAATCTTCAGGAAGGTAAAGGGGTGATAAATGGGGATGGAAGGAGACCTGACTTGGGGTGGTAAACACACACTATAATATATAGATGAGGTATTGTAGAATTATATACCTGAAACCTGTATAATTTTATTAACCACTGTTTAATAAATTCAATACAAAAATAAATTTATTTTTTCTTTAAATTCTCATCTGAGGATATTTTTCTATTTATCTTCAGATAGAGTGGGAGGGGGGAGGGAGGGGGAGAGAGAGAGAGAGAGAGAGAGAGAGAGAGAGAGAGAGAGAGAACCATCATTGTGAGAGACACACCAATTGGCTGCCTTCCACACCACCCTGTGGGAATGAACTGCAACTGAGGTATGTGCCCTTGACAGAAATTGAAACGTCAACTCTTTGGTCTGTGGGCCAACGCTCTAATCACTGAGCTAAACCAGCCAGGGCAATAAATTCAATTTAAAAATATTAATAATCTTTAGGAGATTCTTCCACTGAGAAATACTGAGAATTCCCAGGTCTTTCAGTAATATTTTTTAGGTCCATGTCTTCCTCAAAAGGCTGATGGACAACTTCCTTCCTCTTTTCATCAGCTCCTGCTGAGGAGAGATACAAATGCCTCTAGTGTCTGCACCGTAAGGCCAGTGTTAGCTAAGACACTCTCTGGCTACAAACTTTCAGTGGCTCCCTGGATAAGGCTCAGATGCTTTTGATTGGCACACAAGGCCTGCAGGATCACAATCAGGTCCTGCCACAGGATACCCTTACCATGTCTTCTCAACCCTCTCCATGATTCCTCTGTACTAGCCGTCAGGATTGCTCACTCTTGGAGAACACGGCGTGCTATTCCTCCCTCCACCCCCAGCTGCATAAAGGCAGAGGCACTGTGTCGTCCATCTGTGCATACCCAGTTTATTTCACATACTTCCTGATGCAAGGGACACAACTGATAGTTAATGCTAAAAAATGGGATCACATAAAGTGATTTCTAGTGCCATTTGACAAATAACTGAAAAAACTGTAACATAGGCATATAAGATATAAAGATAAATGAAACTACCCTCTTAAAGTACACTCTTATTTATTTATAAAAGTAAATAAATAAATTTGATGCTTATGAAAATGAGGAATTCTTAGAGGTTTGTGATTTTAGAAAAATGAAGTGTCTGTGCTATAAACTTTTCCTCATGTTCTACCTCAGCAATGAACTGGACGTTAATACGCATCATTGCTGACTTTATTGTTCAGTG